GTTAAAGTCACCAGTTATAAGCCAAGGATCCAACATCAATCTGCCTATATGCTTCAATTCCTCCCACAACACTTGTCGAGTATCTTCATGAGGACTAGTGATAGTCCTCAAGAGTTGAGGCCCATTAAGTGAAAATTGTTCCACAAAACCCATGTTTTGGTTATAAATCACGCCCTTTAACCTTCTTCTTTTCATATAGAGCAACTGTTTTGAATAGTGGACCAGAGCAATGCCGAAAGTGGGAATTAAGGTAGACCTGGAGCAAATTTAACATTATCTTTTTCACATATGACTATTGGGTTAGTTTGCTTTGTTCAGGACACCTAAGGCCCATCAAAAGGAACCACAAAATGAAGAGAGAAGAAGGAGTGTTGCGCAGAAAGGAAAAAGAAGTCTGCTATAGTACAACAGCAGTCAAAAGAAGCAATGGGGAGCTGCCACGTCAGCTACAGCAGAAGGAGTGGAGGTGCTGCCTCTGCTACAGTACGAAAGCAAAGAAGCTGAGCAATGGGGAGCCGCCACGTCAGCTACAGCAGAAGGAGTGGAGGTGCCACCCTGAATCCGATACTCCTACTCACAAAGGGAGCCAAAAGCAAGGGGGACCACTTCCATTTAAGGCCAAGCTGGCAAGAAGCAAAGCTACCATTGGAGAGGATTTAGACAAAGCACGACCCTTGATGAAAGGAACAATGGAGATCAAATGAAGAACCCTATAAAAGGAACAAGCAATCCTCATAAAGGGAATCAGCACCCATCCTAGGACTGGTTATCTCTTTTTTTCTTATTTCTTTGTAAAAATGCTCACTAGGAGCTAACGTCCTCTAAGTAGGTGAGGGTTCCATAGAAGTAATCCCTTATGTCTTAGGATAGCTTTGTAAGGAACACATATTTTATAAATGAACTTTCAGTTGCTCTTTGGTTTAATTTGTTGATTTTGTGAAACCCTTTGGGCTGGCAACCTCATCACGGGACCACTCGGTTGATGAAACACTGACAAAGGCGTGTGGAGCATTCTCAAAATCCTGGGGTAGTTTAGCCTGAAGAAAGGAGGGATAAACACCTGGAATGGGGAGCACTGCCATGTGAATCCCTGCTCTTTTGAGAAGGCAGCATGGTTTCCTTGCATATAACTCCAAGTACTATGGAGTAACGTGGAGAGTATGGCCTTACCCTCTGCTTACCTATAGCAAAACAAGGGAAGGAGCAAAATCCACTTGTAAAATATGCTACCAGGCAGGGTTAACCAAAGGGATGAAAACATGGAACCCGTAACACCTACTTGATCTTTTTCTTCCTGAAATTAATCTTAACTCAATTCCTATCACAACCTTTTCCTCACGATAACTGAACTGTGTTTTACTAGCTGATGCTATTACTTTCATTTCGTTGACTGCTCTTAAAGTTACTTCAATTGATGCCATTTTATTCGATGACCATGCTAAGTCATTCACTGCTCTCATCTGGTTCAGAATGGTTAACATTGTTTAACTAGCTGCCCAGAGATTGCTCTTTGTGAAGCTTAGCTGAGAATAGTGATTTCTTTTATTGCTCCATTTTACAAATTAAGTTTCCTTTAGCGCTTCTTACTTCACAACTGCTCCCTGAGGACGATAAATCTAGGGCTATAATACCCTATATTGCTTGACACGTACGCTTGCGTATAGTTGAAGAGGGTTGCTCTTAGTCAGAGTAGATTTCTCCTGTTGGCAATCCTGATTACTACTCTACACTTTTGCTCTCTGAAAGAAATATTCTCGAGCAACTCTCGGTTCGACCAAGCAACTAGCATATACAGCAGTCCAAAAAAATCCCTGCATCTCAGGAAACTCAACCCAGCAATGCAGAAATTGATCATGCTTATTAATTAGAGAAATTTTCACATCCCTATTATTCCACAAAATCCAAATGCCTCCAGCAAAGCCATTAGCATCTACAATTAAATGGTTAGAAAACCCTAAACTGCGAATGATTTTAAGAGCTTTACTTCCACTAACTCTAGGCTCTAAAACAGCAGCCACTCCTACACCATGTTTCCTACAGAATCTCCTAAAGGTGCTTTTAAATTGTTTTTTGGCAGCACCTCTACAATTCCAAGTAAAAATATTCATAATGAATGCTGAGTTGGTTGCAAGATTCCAAAGTTCTTGCTACTTAATTCAAGGCTAACAAACTCAGATTCCCTCAAAACAGAGATCTGTTCATCACAGATAATATCGCTGTCAACCCTCACAGAATTGGCTAATGAATTACCTAAAGAAGGTACACATTCCATACTTGACATGGCTTCAGAAATCTTAGAAACTTCCCTCATGACTTGATCAGGAGGTTCATGAATAGCCACTGCCTCAGTACTAGTCATATCAACACTTGACAAATTCTCATCAACAGGAACCATGTTGCCCTCCACTATGCATTTTTCCTCCACCATCATCCTATCCCCCCAAGTACTCCCCTTCTGGTGCTCCACCTTAGACTGTGAAGTATTCCCACAGCCATTCAGATCCAGAGAGCTACTACCCATAGCAGAAGATGAATGAAAATGCTGGATATGCCCTTTGCCTTTAGCAGTATGAATCCTGGACGAAAGCTTCTTGTTAGTTAACATAGGGGTCTTAGTTCCTGACCCCTTCTTACTCAGATCCGAAGCCACAACTGAGAAGTTCATTCCTACAACAGGGGAATGAGATTTGTTCTTCAAGTTCTCATTCTCTTTGTTCACTGCTGCAACAGCCTTGCCTGATCCTGGATACCCTTCAGAGTTACCAACCTGACCCATTTTCTCAACTTTGGAATTGTTCTCTACTCCTTTCCCATTCTTATTATTCGAAATGTCCTCCCCAAAGCTCCTGCCAAATGTCGCATCCTTCTTCTGGCCTTGCTGCTGATTCCTTTTCCTCCGCTGGACCACCATCCAAGGACCTACACCTTGGTTATCTGGCATTACCACCGGATGGTCCTGGTTCAGTTCAGTTTTAACTAGGGTAGTAGCCTTGACAAAATCAAGGAATCCGAGTTGTGCCCATGCCTCCCGCATTTAAGACATATCAGAAAAAGACCCTCATACTCCACTCTCTTCCTGCACCCATCCAGAATATAACCACCTCTCAACGGTTTAGATAGATCAATTTCGATACAAACTCTCGCAAATCGAGCAAGATCTCCCGTGGAAGTGGTTCTATCTACTTTGAGAACTTTCCCAATCACAGTACCCAGATGGTTAAGGAAGGGAAACTCACAATATTCTTGGGGAATCCCTGGGAGACGGACCCAGGCTGCCACCTTATGTATGTTGGCCTTGTCAGGGTCGAAGCACGGTTCCCATTTTCTTGTGGCAAGGTACTGCCCCAGAATTACCCAAGGCCCACCCGTGATAGCAAGATTGAGATCCACTAAATTACTAAATCTCACCGAGAAAAATTCGTTCCCAAGATCGGCCACAGTGATACTCCCAGCCTTGGCCCAAAGAGCCTCTAACCTCTTCTTCATGAACCCCACACCAATTTTCTTTCCCAGCAATTTAACTATCAGAGCATTCTTCCAACGTTGCCGCATCCTGGCTCTCGCATCTCTATTGCTCCTTATTTCTACTGATCCATCCTCCCTGAGGATAGTTTGAAAACCCCATTCTGAAATTTCCCCCAAACTTGGATCTAGCGGTTCCAAATCAGGGGATTCTTCCTCAATTAACCAAGGAAGGGAGTCACCAGCAACACCGTTCTCCTCTCCTATGACTTCAGCGAATGACCTTAGCTTCGGCTTAACCGAACCAGATTGGAACTCCTCAACAGCTTCACGCATGCGAGCCTCCGTTGGGATCTCCTCCCCGTTCTTGTTTCTCTTAGTACTCTTTCTCTCCAATGACAGAACATCTCCGTTATTATTGATCGCTTCCTCCATTAATTTCAGAAATCTTTGATTACGAAACCCTAGCAGAAGAAAAATTTATCGCGCGCGTGAAAGGACGCGCCTAACCCATCCTCTTTTTCTTAAAAATATTCTTTAATACAATAAATGTGCTAAGATTTACCCTAACGGTATATGCTTTAACCATCAAATATTACTAACTACAAACCAAGATAAGTAAATAAATTAGTTGTACTATGAATTTTGAATATATAGAATGTTTTATTTTCAGCCCATGTATGCATAAAAACCAAAATAAATTTACAATTAGCAGCTTTAACTATACTAAGTGGAAATAAAAAATCAAAAGGATTTGATTTTGATGTATTATCAGCGTTAACAAAGTTTTACCCTTGCATTCAATTATACGTTTCCTGAAATAAAAACGTTGTATGCATTTGAATAAGAATGCGACTCTTGTTAAGGAAGTTAAAAGTGAGATCATATATTTCAAAGTTATTGTTAAAATGTATACGAATGTCGGAAAGGGGATGTAGCTCAGATGGTAGAGCGCTCGCTTAGCATGCGAGAGGTACGGGGATCGATACCCCGCATCTCCAAATCATGTTTTTGGTTTTTGGACAATTAGTGGAACCATACCACCCATTACTTTTTGGAAGATGTATAAGGTTTTGGACTCCTTAATTCTTACTTTCTCACCTTTTTCTAGCATTAGCAAAATAAAATAATCATCGATGTCTTGTTTGTTCAATGGCTTAATACCGTAATTTTCCTTCCACGACGGTCTACGTGTAAATACAACGAAAAAACGAATACTTAATCCAGTAATTATGCATTGTGTTGAATTGTTCAATGTCAGATTTTCATTTTCTATATTCCCAAAAATGACAATGCATAACTTTTTCTGGTTTATCCACCGACCAAATAATTTGGTAAAATTGGTTTGGGATTGGGACGAAGTGAAATATGGGTTATAAGGATTTGTCAGGTAATGGAGATGCGAGTTTGAGGGAGAATGAGATCTCTGAGAACAGTTGCTCATAGAATTGGCCATGGAAGGAGTTACTCAAGCTTTGAGATGAACCAAAAAGAGAAAAGCAGACCAAAAAGAATCGCAGAGAGGAAGAAATCTTCCGATATATCATGTTAATAACTAAAATTTGAGAAATGCTGTAGGTATTTGTAATCATCTCAGCTAACCAGTATTTGCTAGAAACTAACCAACTGATCCTAGCTAGCAGTAACTACATAATTTAGGAGTTAAATAGGCACACGTGATCATGTAGGCTGTAGCAGTTAACTGTATACAGCATATAATCACATAGTTCTTCCACAATTTTTTTTAAATTTTTTGGTATAGTTTTTTCTACTAATTATGTTACAGAAATTCACTATCGTAATTTTAACTGATAATTATGCTGTGTAGCCTGTGCGTTGACAGTGAGGTTGCTATACACTATCGATCACCCTTCTTGTTGAGGCCTACTTGTTGTTCCTTCATGGAGATGGGGAAAGAAGGAATTCACCATTGGACAATCATAATTCAGATCAGCAGGCCTTGCATATTTGTGCCTTCATGATGTATCAGCCATCAGATTGGTCAGCTAACTCAAATTGCAAACACAACTCAAAGAAGATAAAAAAGCAAAAGGGCAAAAGTAGGAGGAGGAAAAGGATCTTAATTCTCACCACTCCTGATCAATTAGCATTTCATCAGTCAATCCAAATCGTCTTAGCTCTTCTTCATCGTGATGCATCACTAAGCTATACCTGTTTATGCGTTCTCTCAGCGTTTAGATTTCCATATGAAAGAAGAGTTATGCGTCATGTGTGTGTTAATAGAAAGTGAGAAAAAACAAAAAGAGAGGAGTACCTTCCCCCATAACCCTTTTCCATGACAAGCATATTTCCATTGCCCATGTTGTTGAGACCCTCGAACTGTTGGACGGTCCATTTGTACCATCTCATGAGAAAAACTCGAAGTGTCAGACCATGCGACACGATGACCAAGTTCATGTCTGCTTTCTTACCCCCAGGTGGCTGATATCGTCCAATATTAATATCTGCTCTCAGCGTTTCTCTGAATCCTGCTACCACATATCAAACTCTGCATCACTGGTTTTACACATGTTTCAAGTTTCAAGTTTGATTTCCCAAAACCACATTATTACCTGTGATTCTATCATATACATCAGCTGCGGATTCCCCATCTGGAAATCTGTAAAAGAAACGACCATATAGCATGCGCATTCCTTTATGCACTCGCATCTTTTCTCTGTTTTGAAAATTCCCTTTTTCAACATAAATGATAGAAACAATTAGTGAACCGAATCAGAAAAACATACAGCCCAAACTAGTACTAGGCCTGGTTCGATTTGGAAACAGTCAATACCGAAATCTTGTTCTCGAATGCGAGGCTCTTCTCTGAAGCCAGCGATTCTTGAGCGTTCAAAGGGACGAGCGAGGCTTTTCAATGTTTCGAGGGTCCTTCTGTATGGGGATACATAGAAGTAAACTTGCCAATTTTCGTCACCATCTTCTTCAATCATGTTCTTGATCCTGTAGCCACAGTCCTCTGCTTGGGCCTTGCCTCTGTTGGTGAGGCCTATCTTGGGATCAGCCACCCTCGTGTACTCGGTCTCATCCACGTTTCCTTGGCTCTCTCCATGCCTAACCAGGATTATCCTTCGAGGTCTGGGAGGGACAAAGGTGGAGAATGCGGGGTTGATGAAAGGATTCTTCTCTGGAAATCTGGCATGGCCATTGCTGTTAATGTGCTCTGGTTGGTTGTGGCAGCTTTGGATTAATAAGGACGTGTTTATATTGGAATTGGGTTTGATTTTAAACCATTTTTGTTGAGAAACAGGAAGAGATGGAGAGGGGGATCCTGAGTATGGGAAAGGTAGCGCAGACATGCCCATGACTTGTTAGGTAAATGCTACTAAGCATGAATCTCACTCACAGTCACGGGACATAATATTTGATCACTACATCTACATGTTCAAATGGCAGTCAATATCATTTTTGCTCTTCAGAATTCCTCATCATATCATATATTGCGCAATTTCGCTTTCACCCACCAAAAAACGTAATCGTCCTTAAGCAATTAACAGCCTCAAGTGTCTATTGAGTGTTTAAAGGGGAGATGAATCAACGGTTCTCTGCTGTCATGAATGATGAGAGAGTGGGGACAGCACCCTGACATATACCAAGTCGATCATGGACATGGCAAATGGTCATACCGTGTGGGTCAATGTTGCTTTGTCTTGTAGCCTGTGGCTGTACAGAAGGCTTGGACTGTTGTTGTATTGAATATTTTTTAGATTGACATTTCTTTTGGGCCGTTATCTTTATCCGAACATGTTTCCCAAAGAAAATCTTAGCGAACGGTCTCCATTACTCAACTGTTTTACTTGGGCTTAGGCTTGAGATATTCTTCATGTTTTTGTTGCTCATTGGGTTTGCAAGGAAGGCTCTATTGTTAGAAGTAGAATCCTAGGGTAAATTGCTTTGCCAGGCAAGCTTGCTTGTGATGTTTTTTCTTTTTCCTTTTGCTTTGCCATAGTGCTCAGCTGGGCATGTCCTTGTTGGGCCCCTCACTTTTTAGAGTTGTTTTCTGTTGGCCCGGGAGCCTTCAACTTTTGATCCTTCGACCAAACAAAAATAAATAAGGACATATTTCATGCATAGTATAAGATAAGATATGGTTAAATTTTAATATTATCTAGTGTTCGGTATGATATTGTATAAGATAATATCCTCAAATATTTTAAAAATTAATATATTAAAAAAAATTATTTTAATATATTAATATTGAAATGATATATTAATTTTTGAGAATCGTATTTGTAAGCAATATTAATAAATCAATCCCTTGTCAGGCCTCATCCTACTCTTTCAGGCCTGATTAAGTTATACATCATTTTGATGTATTAAGGGATTTTGCTCTATAAGCTTATACTATATGATGATCACACCAAACAACTAAAAATATTAATAACGTATAGTATAAACTTATACTATCAAGTCTTATATATCACACCAAACATCCTAGCTAAATAAGGTTAGAGCACAATGCATATATGCAACACTGGACAAGCAAGGACTGTCTTTATAAAATTCAGTTTCCACTGGGGAAAAAATGAACTGAAGTTTATTATTATGTCATTTTCAATGGAGATTCTTTTTATTGGTACAAAGATTCTTTTCTTCTGCTGTAATGAAAAGCGAAGTGGAAGAAGAATGGACCAAGTCAAAGTTGATGTTTGAGAATGAGAGATAATCACTTGCGGGGACTCCTCCTATTGGGGTAGGTAGAGGACTAAGTTAATGGAAGTTGAGGCTGAAACGATGTGCTTTCAATTTGTTTTATCGTCTCCAACTGCAGTACCTATTGCCCTGTGCAACAACAAAAAAAGAAAAGAAGGCAAACTTACAATGTACGAGCGTGGCCAACACCGTGGGGTAGCGGAAAACTGACATTTGTTCTGTTTTTTATTTTCTCGTTACATCCTCATTCTCTCGAACTTCTTTAATAAAAAGGGGATGCTATCTCAAGCAGCCGTCACTGAGTGGAAAAATTAGCTTTCATGTTGGAATTTAAGTGAAGAACAAAAAGCAAAAAAGAACTGAGGCGTATATAACAAAGGGTTACTTTCAGCATACTTGTCTCCTACGCAAAAATCATTGACTTATAATCATCCAGTGATGCTAAGCAAAGGGGTTCGACTTGAAAAAATATTAATTTACAAGGGGGTAAAAAAAGGTTATTTTCACAATCTTTATAAATATATTAAGGAAACATATAATCTCAAGTAGCGTATTTAGTACAATTTTCCATTAATTAATATATAATACAACTGCACAAACTATGTCCGTAATCTACGTGCTACGTGGAATTATGTAACGTCCGACCGCCCAACCGCTTCAAGAATCAATAACTATCCCCACATATTAACACGAGACTTTTCAGTATTCTTTTTCCTCACCCGCACACTTTTCGAAAAAACTTTCCAGGAGGTCACTTATCTCGGAATTTCTCCAAGTCAAGCACGCTTAATTGTGGAGTTCTTCCGATCCGGGCTACCGAAAAGAAGATGCATCTTGTTAGCATAGGTAGTACCAATTAATTCTTATAAGCTATTCCAAACTGTGCAGTCTTATACCTGCACAGCCTTTGAAATCTCTCTCTTTCGGGTGTCGATTCGATTCATTCATGCATGTACCCGCTGGAAGCCTGTCAGGAGCCTCTCCTTGTCCGTGCCTCTTTGCATCGGCGATCACTCCCCGTCCTCGCGCTCGGGATGTTACAAAATAAAACAACTCAGTGGCAATCAGATTGATTAGAGTTAAATGAATTATATAAATGTGAAGAGAGGGATGCATAAGGGATAATGCTTGAAAGCGACTGTGTAGCCCGAAAAACTTATATAAGGGAGAAACTGTAAGAATATTTTTTCTTGTAGTTTAAAATTATGTATATGACTAAAAAAAATAAAGATGTTATTCATAATTAAAAATTTGTATGAATTTAAAGGAGATAATTAGTGTCTGCATGACAAAAAATAATAATAATATCCTTACCGTTGAAGATGTGTATAAACCGCTAAAGAGCAAATACAAGAAGAGCTATGTTAGCTGTAGTACGAAGGATATATGTAATCCTATTCCATCTTCAATTTAAGAAATAGGCATTTTAATGTTCATTAGAGAAAAAGAAATGAATTAGTAATTTTATTTTATGTCTCATTATATAAAACTAGGAAATATTATTCACGCTTAGAGAAAATTGGGTGAATAAGATCTAATTTTTTTTATATAGTCTTATTTAATTTATATAATCATAATTATTATTCTCTATATATCAATTTTATTATGTATAAATCATTGTTTTATTTTTTTACCCACGCTCATAAATTGTGATTTATTTTAAATACTCATGTCAAATTTTTAAGAGTAATGATTTTCTAAATATGTGAAAAAATTTAGAAGTATAATAATATAATATAAGTAGTTATTATTCAAAGTATCACGGGAGAAAATATTTATAAATGTATATTTTTTAATCCAAACCATTTTATATTTAGTTTTTGGATTTATTTTTTCTGCAGTTAATGCATATAAGTTATCTGCAGTAAACCTAATACGACGTCGTTTTGTGACAGAAATCATGGTGTTTTTGTAATTTTAATTTATTTCAAAGTTATAATAGTCTTTATATTTATAATTTTTTAAGATTTCAATATCAAAACGACGTCGTTTTGGAAATAAATGCAGATAACTTATCCGCAATAACTGCAGAAATATTTTTCCCTCAGTTTTTGTGTTGTTGCAAATATAGTATTTTTCTCCTTTTTTGTTTAACAGAATTTGTTTCTTATTAGGTTAGAAAAAATTAAATGCAAATATATATTATACATAACAGGAGTCAAAATTCAATTTTTTCATAAAAGTATTTATATCAAATTTAATATTGTTTCATATTATTTTCTGTACCGAATAATTAAATAAATTTAGAAGACAAATATATGATATACCAAAAAAAATGTCAAATATGTGAAATAATTGATTGACAATGATTATTTTGCTCCGACTTATTTCATTTCGTTTTATTCTTATTTCGTGACATTATTATTTTATAAAACTGCCTAGATGTTTCGTGAAATAAACATTATTCTTTTAGGGCTTTATCATTTGTATTGATTTTATTCCTGTCTGTGAGTGCAGACTCATGTTTTGTCGTATTGAGGAAATAAACATTGCCGCGCAACTTGTATACAATATATATAAAATTACATTAAGAAACGAGCAAGCTAGCTAGGAAAATTCAAACACTAGTCATCACTATTGTCTACCACTTAATTTTCGGTTTAAAAAACCCTCAATATAGTCTAATAAAAAGGAAACCTATTATGTCGACAATTATGAGAGTAGACTCTGTAGTTGTTCTATTGCCTAATTTTAATATCATAAATCTTAATAATTTAATAATAGATTATTGGTCAATAATTAATGGGAATATTTTTTTGTTCAAATTCATTACATAACATAAATCATGTTAAATTAAATATGAGAAGGTGTATGAAATTGTAATTCAGCCACGTGTTGGATATGGAATTGGTCCAAAACCATTTTGAGAGTGGCTAATATATATAAGGGAAATGTATCTATTATGTAACATGATGAAAGCTTGTTTTCCTACACAAACAAATAAACGTGGGGTCTACAATTTTTTATTTTCTTTTTCCTCAACTCATTTTCTCTCTCTTCTTTTATATTTGTGTAAGACCAAATAGTGTTTTTCATGTAACATTATACATGTATAACCCTATATATAAATATGAACTCAAACTGCACATGAAAATGTAAGTTAAGATTGGTTAAAAACGTGAAATCCAACACTGTCAAGAAAAAAAAAATGAAGTTATTTGGTTCAGGTAATTTTTGTTTTGTAAATCAAATTTTTTTTTTGTAAGTGTAGTGTATATTTTTGTAAATATTTTTATGTATCAGTATAAGTCGTTGTAAACATTTACGGCATCTCATCATATTCTTGGAATGAGACGATGTAATCTTGATAAACTTTTTTTTACCAAAAACAAAATGCCAAATCATATACAAGAGGTTAACTTTAAGTTTGCATAGATCAAAATTGAAAATAGCTACTTTTTTTTTTGGATCCCAAATATATATAATAAACATTATATGATAATATTGGATTAATTTATTACTACTAGCTACTATTATTTATATTTTTTCTTATTAAAAAGAAAAGCGGCCATAGCCAATAATCTCTTAATCAAGAGTGAGATTTCCATTTGCTTTTTCCCCTCTGAGCAAAGGTGGGGACTTTGCTAATTAATGCCTTGAACATTGCATTGATTGTTTTTTTTTTTTTTTAATTTAAAAGGAGAATATGTTCATACTTAGAGTTGGATCATGTTCCAAACTTTGAAATGAGACAATATTTTTAGGGCTTATTGTTTATTCTGCTACATGAGAAAAAAATGTGAACTCAAAAACGATGTTATTTT